TACTCCCTCCACCAACACACACTGCTCCCTGCACCTCTCCATTCCTTTTGTACCTTTTAATAATATTTAAACGGATGTGAATATACGTAGGATTCTTAAATGAATTTCAACATCCGTACACGAATATTGACATCATTGAAAGACAAACGGATGTCAATATCCGTTTAAAAATATATATGCCAAAGCTTCCTCCTCCACCTCCTCTAATTGCCCAAAATAGGTCTTTCCTCGTGGCTTCCCTATTAAGGATTTAGCCATTTGCATCAACCAGTTTTGCATCAAGAACATTATCAGCTCCAAGACCATACTTTCTCACCATGGATCCATATGCACCTCTTGTGACCTCCAACACCTAGGCTTGTGCAGAGGATTATCTATTGATATAGAGTAGTGTAGAGAGTGTATTCTTCGGCACAAAATACAGTGTGTTTGAAATGTTTAATTAATTAGACTGGTTTTGTATAAACAACAAAAACGAGTGCACATGTTTGATAGAAAAATAAGGCGAAACTATATGTATGTTGGTATGAAAGTTTATTTCAATTCATTATTTTTTGCCACTAGTAGTCATTGTAACTAAATCAACAGTAGCAACAAACCTGTTGAAGAGCGAAGTTCAACGACTGCAATAGAAGAGCGAAGTCGCAGTGGCAACGAAGATTCAGCGGCGGAGCCAACACCAGCACGTCAATATGAGGCTATCACGATGCGACAAAACAGACCGCGCGACTACACTACAGTGGTTGTATCCTTCTAGCCCAAAGTCCAAGAGCATGTGCAAAGGATTCAAGAACGCCGGAAAATGAAACATTTTTTGGAGTGTAAATTAAGAAGCTATCGAGACATTGGACAAAGTTTTCATCATATGAAACTAAAGCTACCAATGAAAGGGGTGCAGAGATATTTAGGGTTTTTTTGGAATTAAAGAAATAACAGGGAGGTGTAGGGAACATTTTGGGTGGTGGAGGGAGCAACTCTCCTCTGCCAGCCCTAAACCTACTATTCATTGGGCCTGGATCAAGCTATTTGTGGCACCCCGCACCTTTACCGTTGCACTCCTGTCTTCACGGACTTGGACCAAACTGATTAGGTCGCACCACCAAATGCTCCCTACATCTTTATTTGAGTGTTGCTCCCTCCACCACCACCAAATACTCTCTGCACCACTCCATACCTAATTTATCCTTACTATAAAATGGATGTCAACATAATGTTGACATCCGTTTACATATTTTATATTTTAATTTATTGTTTTTATTTTAAAAAAGAAAACCTTAAAGGATGTAGCACATCCGTTTTAATAATTTTATAAAATGTATTTAAATAATTTATTAAATAATAATACATAAAATAAATTAATTATTATTATTTTATTAAATAAAATAAAATTAATTTATATATAATTACGTAATAAATTTTAAAAAAACTAAATAATATTTATATATTAATTTAAAATAAAATAAATTAATAAACTAAAATAAATTAATAAACTAAAAACTATATAAAAAAAACCTAATGTCGCCATATATGTGACACATTTGTTTAAGTAGATTTATTAAAAATATTTAAATAGTTATTTAAATAATAATACGTAAATTAAATTAATAATAATTATTTTATTAAATAAAACAAAATTATTATATATAATTACATAATAATTTTTTTAAAAAATAAGTAATATTTATATATTAATTTAAAATACAATAAATTAATAAACTAAAAACTGAAAAAAAAACCTCAACGGATGTCGTCCGAAGATTTATAAAAAATATTTAAATAGTTATTTAAATAATACCACATAAATTAAATTAATAATAATTATTTTATTAAATAAAATAAATTTTAATTATATGTAATTACGTAATAAATTTTAAAAAGTTAAATAATATTTATATATTTATTTAAAATATAATAAATTAATAAACTAAATACATAAAAAAAACCTCAAGGGATTTTGCTACATCGATGTGGCGTAATTTATAAAAAATATTTAAATAGTTATTTAAATAATAATAAATAAATTAAATTAATAATAATTATTTTATTAAATAAAATAAAATTAATCTATATATTATTACGTAATAAATTTTTAAAAAATTAAATAATATTTATATATCAATTTAAAATACAATAAATTAATAAACTAAAAACTAAAAAAAAAACCAACACATGTGGTCACATCTAACGGATGTGACATTAACGAATGTGACACATTTGTTTAAGTAGATTTATAAAAAATATTTAAATAATAATAAATAAATAAATAATAACAATTATTTTATTAAATAAAATAAACATAATTTGTATATAATTACGTAATAAATTTAAAAAAATTAAAAAATATTTATTAATTAATTTAAAATACAATAAATTAATAAACTAAAAACTAAAAAAATTCTCAATAGATGTGGTCACATCCATTGAAGAATATTTTTTTCAACGGATGTCGACATCCGTTGAAGAATATTCGTTGGAAAAAAAAAGTGAGAGTGTAGGATATTTTAAAATATAAAGAATAGTTTTGAAATTTTAAAAAATTGTGATAGTGTAGGGAGTAATGTGGGATGACCTAGGAAGTAACTGTCTCTTTATTTTATTTTACCTTTATTTTTTTATTTAGTTCGATTATTAGGTTATTTTTATTTTATTTTTTGTACATATCTTAACCCCAGCCCTTTATTCTCTTGTTTGTTCGTTGTTCTTTAACCATCACTGCACACACTCACTCTGTTGTAATAAAAATAATCATAAAAATAAATAAATAAATAAATAAAATAATAATAATAAATAAGACGAAATTACAAAAATCACAAAAAAAAATATAAAAATAAAAAAGGATAAAATTGCAAAATCACAAAAAAATAATTTGAGTTTCTAGCAATGTATTTTTTCTTCAATCATATGAATTAAGTTAAAAATCATAAAAAATACAAAACCTCAAAAATCACACAAAAATAATTTTATCTTCAATTTGTATTTTGTATCTAACTCTTGTTTTTGTTGCGATACTTTATTTTTTATAAAAAATCATAAAATTTCTAAAAACAAAAATATCAATTTGTTTTACAAATGGCAATCTAAGCAAGAACTACCTAATCCTTGATCCTCCATACATAAAAAATGAAGATACATAGCAAGGTGAATCCTTGTCACGTTCAACTGTTATTGACTGCTCGGTCATGTACTATCTTGTTAGAGTTCGATCTTAGACCAACACTCGGCGATATAGTGCTCGGTTTGTACTAGGATTTTTGATAGTGTTAACGAATCGATATTATTGGGTTGAGTTGTCTCTTATGAACGGTCGTTCTTATACGAGTGCTCAATATCGTTTTTGTGCTAAGTTATTAGTGTTCGGCTTAAGCCAATAGTGTTTGGTCTAAGCCAATAGTGTTTGGTCTAAGCCAATATTGTTCGACCCCTTGTTTGGATCTTACTCTTCAAATGACTATTCGGTCATGTTCACATATAGGGAGTGTTTTCCCGTCTGTTCCTGTTCATAGGTTAGTTTTATATTTTTCGTTCGATCGTACTAAGAGTTGTGTTAGTGACGTTTGGTTTTTCTTCTATGAATGAATATTGGTATTTAAATATTGTTATCATTATTTGACTATGATGGATTGAGATAATTGTATTGATCTACTTTGTATGGGAAATTGTATTGGTATTTCAATAAGGCATATGTTTCAAGTAATGTGGAAGATAATTCCAAGGAGGAATGTCTCAGTGAAAAGTGTATCAAAGTGGTATTTTAGTATGAATATGGATACTGAAATTCACGGAGTTCATCTTGATATTCTGAGATTACCAATTCTCAAGTAGAGATGAGTAAGACATTGTGTGAGAATGACAGGAGGTTCTAGCGCATAGGTTCTTAGGTGAGTTATAATGGACTAACCTCGGGGAGGCATTGTATGGTTTCCAGCTACTACACCACCCGAGTGCATGAACGTCCTTAAGCTACATATTCATACAATCCGGATGGTCAAGTCAAGTGTTCGGTTTATGCATGAAGTATAGTGTTCGGTCGTGTATGTTTATCTGTATTTGTATTGGTTGTATTTGGATGAAATGTATGTATGATTGCACCATTAAATTACATTAATTTACCCTTATTTCCTGTTTTGTCCATGTTCCTCTTCGGTTTTCCCTATTGCGATGATCACCTATTGGGTGTGAGCAGAGGACGTGGAGTGTTCGTTGGAGCAGGAGTTGGAAGGCGAGAATCCTTTGGTTTAAAATATAATTCGGTCATATTATTGTTTTAATTTTTGGGTTGGACCGTTCGGTTAAATTTGTAATCACGAATTACCGATCGGTTAAGTTTATGGTTTTGGTTTGGTGTAGAACTTCTGTAAAGCTTTAAATTTTATGGTTATTTTAGGATAACTGTAATCTTATTATATATCTTTAACTGCCTTGTAATATTATTATATGATAACTCCTCAATATGGTTTATGCTATATATTTTAGGATGTTATATGAGTGAAAAGAATTTTTTTTTTATTATTTAAAATTATTTTAATTTGATGTAGAACTATTTTTATTAATTTAGTAATCAATAAAGTAATTAATCCTAAATTATTTCATGATATATTAATCTAATATAAAATTATCAACATAACTAATTACGGTGCTTTTATGTCTTTTCTTTTTTGAGAAAAATTAGAATATTTTTTTTTTAAATTTGTAATTTTCGCATTCATAATTGAAAACAATAGAAAATGGCATTTATTTTAATATCATTAATGAATAACTCAATTCTTGAATATAAAAGGTTGAGGAGTAAACACCAAATTACTCCAATAGAACTAATTTAACAATTATTTATTAAATTAAGAAAACTAATAAATAAATAGGAATAAAACAAAATCCTCCTAAAATAACTTGATTACTTTTATTATTAAATAAATTATTATCATTATGATTAATTAGTGCTAATTATGGTTTAAAAGGCCTAGGTTTGTCAACTCTGTGGACCAACCATGAACACTATATAAACCCATCCCTTCAGATTCTCCATTCACTCTCTTTCTTCCTTCATTCACTCCCTCTATCAACTCCTCCTCATCACCAATGTCCAAGCTCTACGACCAGTGGGTTTCCATGGCCATCGCCGACGACACCCTCGTCGCACACCAGCTCCTCCTTCTCCGGTGCCACCATCTCTCATCCGTCAATCCCTGGACCAGCCGTCAGCGCCGAACCACCGGGCTCCCCGTCGCCGCCGACCGTGCCAGTCCCACCACCCCCCTCACCTGGATCGCCGCCACCTCCCTTGACGGTTTCGAGGGTTCCACTCGCCCAATCGCACCAATGCGATCCTCAGAGCCTAAGGTGCATCTCCTCTTTCGCCTCCTTCTATGTTTCCGTTACTTTTACGGTTATTGCCGTGTCTCTCGCTTCTCACTCTCTTTTCTACTTTTCTCACTCCCAATCAAACAAAACAACCGCCATTCTCATCCTGTTTATATTTACAATTCTACCCCCACCCCTCAGATCGGTGCCTCCCTTCTCTGCCGGAAACGCCTTCAGTAAACTCCTTTCCCTTCTCCCGTTTTTCCGTCGCCATCAAAAGCGAAGGATCTTTTTGTCTTTTTTCCTTTTTCACTGTTTTTTTAACTATTATGTATTTTAGGTTATTAACAGGAAGAGGAACTGGAATTTTTAAAATTATTTTTAATATCAAAAAATGGAATAATAAACACTATAGTTGCACGTGTCATAAATGTTTGTCTAAGCACTGGCTTAAATAATCAGGTCAGGGGTATATTCGTAATATCAAATCTTACACATCAGCCTTTTCTGGTAGCGTGTTCTATGGTGGTTTTGTGTTGCATAATTTATTAGTGGGTGTTAGTGCTCTGTGTGCTTCATGCAGAAGCACAGAGCCATAAATGATGAAAGTACAAAATCAAATCCACACAAAATTAAGTGCAATTAAATGCGTGTTTTTAATAATTATCATAATTAATTTAGACTTTTACTATTATATCTAAAATAAAAAATAATAATAATATATATATATATATATATGAGTAATTACTTACTCTTTTAGTTTTTAATATAAAATTATAATCTAACTGAAAGAATTAAATTTAATTCACCCAAGTGCTGATAAGTTCAATCAGACAGATCAAATTGAATGAATATTTTCCAAACTGTCAAAAACAAAAAACTAAAAGGCGTTGTTAATTTGATTATAAAATATAACCTTTATTTGTAATAATAATACAGCAGTAGTTAATTGGCATCATATTAAGCAAAAGCAAAATTAGTTTAGTTTATAGTCAAATTCTTTCTTCCGTGGTTTCTTTGAAAAGTTTTAAAATTAAGTAATGTGACACATACAAATTTGAAATTATACATACATCTAATTTTCAGCTTCATCTGGTTATTAATGTTTTCCATCTATAGATCAAATTATCAAGTTCTTTGAGTGCCCACATGTTTGCATAAGAGTTTGTTTTACTGTTTAAGCTCTTTTATGTTTGGTGTCTTGCAGACTTCGGATAAAACTGCAACTTTCGCTGATGAGACTGAAAGTTCTTCTTCAAAGAAGAAAAGAGTAAGTATAAACTTTACTAATCATCAATAGAAGGAGTCTTATATATATATATAGTAACAATGAGTAAAATATGAAACATTTCTCCTTGTTTGTGTATGAGATTTTGAGGTTGTGTTGTGTTGCATCTCTTAAACATACATGCTTTATTTTAATCTTTTAAATTTGTACCTTGATTCAGACTCTCTCTCACCTACGAAGGCTGGAACAAGAGAAGAAAGACGAAGGGAAGAATTTAAGAGACGTAAGATGGACTTGTATTAATTAATGTTTACACATGTATATAGAGACAGACATCTTTCTGATTGTTTGTTTTTCATTGAAATTTTAAACAGGAGCTAGAAGCCACATATCTCAAATATGATATAAGAATAGCAGAAGGCGAAAGGTTAAAGAAAACAAAGGCAAACTTTCTTGTTCTTTATCCCTCTTTTAAGAGCTATTGTTTTCATCAAATGAAGTTTTTGACAACTTGGTTCATTACAGAAGGAGTTGTGGTCTCGGAAACAAGATCATATTGTTGAGAACGAATCACCTGCTTCCGACGACGGAAAGAGCGGTGGCCAGCAACCTCGAATATTCTTACCCGATCTGAATGAAGCTCCGGTGGAGTATTTCACGGAATTTATTGGCTTTAACCAATAGGGAGTATTCGTGAAATTTATGGTCTTATCCAAACATTCTTCTGGGCTATCTCTTCTTTCCACCTTCATTACATAGATATTTACTGAGAAGTAGCAGTTACTTGTTGTATACACATAAGATAGTTCAACCAAGTTTGTTTACCTCTTATATCATTCTTATGAGTTATTGTTCATTTCAACTTCATACATTGCATTCTGTACATAATTAATCCACTTTCACAAATTCCAGATAACGTTGCATGTGATATTAGAGTATGTTGTGAGATTTATGATTATCCTTTTTATGATGTTTATTCCTGATATTTAGAGATTTTAAATTTTTATGTATTCGTTGCTATTTGATTTCAAATTGAAATTATGTTTTAGTATTGAATAGATTGAATCTCACTGTCATATGTTTTGAATGCTCAAGCGAATCTATTAGGATGTTAATGTGGATTGAATGCAATAAAAGTTATGTTGGAAAAACAATTTTTCATTATGCAAATTGATTATGAAAATCTAAATGTCTTTATCAAAATGAACTGTGAATAAAAGATTTAGATTGGATAACAATCCTCTTATATGAATTAAAATTACTGTTTTAATTTTATTATGTAAATAATGTATCCTAATTTTATTATGTAAATTATGTATCCTTAATTTAAAAATCAAGGAAGATGCTATATAAATACGGTTTCTAGCAATTAAGGATATTTATTATTTATTTGAAATGAAGCCGATCAATTTTGTTAGTTACCAAATTGATATGTATTTTAATTATCATTAATATAATATGATTAACCTATGTTCGTGTATCAGTGGATGTCGCAAACGAGAACATGAGTATATAATAATTATTTATATTTGAATCTGTACTTATGATTAGTTTTATCACTCAAAGTGTTAGACATGTGAATTATAATCTTTATTCCAGTATTTTTACATTTGTTTATTAAGTTTGTTTTAATCTTTAATAGGTTGAATTTATGAGCAAGTTCAATTTCACTTGGTTTGACTTTTCAAGCCGAAAAGTCTCTTGCTATCATTGGTGCTAGTAATAATGAAGAGAAATTCCATAACAGCTTCAGAAAGATCAAACAAACATAGTTTGATGTTTATGAAAATGAGCAAGTAAAATTAAGTTTATTTTTTCCAAAAAACTAATAATGTAAAAGAGATTGTGAAATTTATAGAAGAAACACTTCCAAACTGTTGACAAATTTCTTGTTAGAACATTGATGAGTATATTGACTACTATAAAATTTTATGATTCTCGTCCTATATAAGAACATTTGATCAAGATGACAAAGATCATAGCAAAACTCAAATATCTAAGAAAGAATGACAGTGGATGAAAGTTTTTCATTACAATTTATTTTGAATTCATTACCATTTTCTTGTTCATTTTAAATTAACTAAAACGCCATGAAAATGAGATGAAATGAGCATGACACAATATGTCATTACTAATGACTATGAATATGAATAGTTTTACTTAATTAGTAATCTGAAATAAGATCTTATCTTCTATGGGTTCTCATGAATTTAATACAATGTGTTGTTCCTCTCTAGAATAATTGAAACTAATTTATTTCCAGTTCAGATTGTTTTCATCAAGATGCTTATGAGATATATAAATGTCAGTATTAAATGATTTTGCCTCGACTTATTTTCAAATTGTATTGATTCACTGGTCATTTTTTCTTTTATAATTTTTTTTATCGTTGCAACATTGAAAATAAGTAATAATTGAAAAACAAATTAAAAGTAATAATAATAAAATATAAGTGATAGCAGTAAAAGAAAATTAAATAAAATATAAGCTATTTAAAGTAGTATGCAACTTATGAATTAGAATGTCCTAAAATAAGTTAAATTGAAAAAAAAAAGCTTTAAACAATTTTCGATCTCATAGATAAAGTTCTCTATTTGCTAAGTATACCCATCTAGTTTATAAGTTCAGTACTCTTTCATTTTCAGTGTACAAGCCTATAAAGAAAAGACCAAACATGTTTTATGGTATATATTATATCCCTTATGCAATACTATTCTCATTATTCAACTTAAACACAATTATTCCCTTAACTTACACCCTTGACATATATAGAAAAAAAGAAGTTAAACATAAATTAAACTAAATTACAACTTCTCAATTTAGGGTTAAGTATGTTTTTAGTCCCTTAACTATCACGCAATTTTGGGTTTAGTCTCTATTCGAAAGTTTTGTTCATTTTAGTCGTCGTAGTTTTGAAACTCATAAATAGTTCCTAATTTTAGATAGTGTTAACTTTTGTTTGACGTGACTAATGGCTAGCCCACGTCTGATGCTAGGTCTGAGTTTATTCTCTATCACGTTTTCTTTTTTTCATATTCATGAGATTAAGTCATTGGCACGTGAGGTTTATGAAATCAGATTAGCAATTAGGGTTCATAACTTACTTTTTTTCAACTGGGGAAAACTAGGTTTACTCCAACCATTGTATTACAACCATTGTTTACGAAACACACTCGAGGGATTCAATACGTTTTTGTCTTCAATAAACTTATGGCAATTTTAAGAACTCAAAATGTTTGAGGCGAAATATAAGAACTAGCGGAAGTTTCAGATCTGGGGAGGGGGAGAGAATAAATTTTCCAGGAAAAGAAACAGAGAAAGAAAGAAAAAAGAAAGAGTATGAACAAGTTGTTGTTTTGGGTGGGGTTTTGAATGTTGAAAGGGATAAGAAATAAGAAGATGCAATGAGGATGGAGAAATAAAAAATGGAGGAAACCCGCGTATGAGTTAGAGAGGAAAAGAAAGAAGGAGTGAATTTGCTAAGACTTTGTTGTGTGTTTTTTTTTTCTAATGCTTTTGATAGGAGCTGGAAAGTTTGAGAGAAGAAACAAACGAACGACTAAGGGCGACGGGGAAGGAGCCGAACGGTTAAAAGCAGCAGGGACGACCGATTAGTCACATGTAGGTAGAGCAGCAGGGAACGATCGATCACATGCAGTGGGAGCAGCAGGGACAAATCGGTCACATGCAGGGGGAGCAGCAGGGAACGATCGGTCACATGCATGAGGAACAACAGGGAACGAGCGGTCAAATGAAGTGGGAGCATAAGGTGAATGTCGAACGGTTGAGGGAGAGGGTGAATCTGATTTCTAAAATGAAAAAACCAACGTGACAGAGAGTAAAAAGGGAACCTGACATCAGACGTGTGGGGTGACCATTAGCCACATCAAACAAAAGTTAACACCATCCAAAATTAGAAACTATTTATAACAGTTTCAAAGCTACGAGGACTAAAGTGAACAAAACTTTCGAATAGGAACTAAACCCAAAATCGCGTGATAGTTAAAGGACTAAAAACTTATTTAACCCCAATTTATTTCCCACACTTATCACACAACACAAATCCTTATAATTTGTTTATCATGGTTTATAAGATAATTTCTAATTTAAATATTTCTTTATTAATAAGTTGGGTCAAGAAAAAATAAATAAAAAAAATTAAATCAAATGAGTATGTCAATGAAAAATTTAAAGAAAAAAGAACTTTGGAAAAGATCACCAATTTTGGTAACTTTTAACCGTTTTTTTGGATAATTTATTTCAAAATTTATCTATTGAAGAAAGTACAAATTTCTTCAAAGGTGAAAAACGTCACACCAATTTGTTTATTTTTTCTTTCCTTATAACTTAAGCTTTGATACCACTTTTTAAAATTGCATAATACAAAAATAATTTCTTCAAATAAAAATACATCAAAAAATAAAATCACAACATAAATTTAGTGATTTGAGATCTCAAAAGCTTAGATAGATGAATATTCAACAAAGTATTATACAATTTTTTTGTTTACAAAAGTTACAAATTTTCTAGTAAAATTTATAAGCCCTCTAATTATACACAATTAAACAAGTTACAAAACAACTCTTTGTTTTTATAATCTCTTTATACTATTCCTTGATACAAGTGGACGAGACTTTGATGAAGACTCATTTTAAAAGAAAAAAATGTAATTTTATATTTTAAAATTTACATCCACAAACATCTAATAATATTATGTATTGTTTAATATAAAAGTTTTATAAAAAAATTATAAAATCATTATATATAAATACTATTTTAAATACTAATAATTTTAAATTTACAGAATAAAATACAACTTAATGAATATAATAGTTAATTAATTGTTATTCAATAATTTTGTTATAATATTGAATGTAATATAATTAAGTACAAAATCCAATATCAATTTAAACCGAACAACAAACAGTATGTTACATATGTAAATTAAAAGATATTTTATCAAGAAAAAAATCTAAGCCAAAAAAAAATCTAAATGGCTTCAAGAAAGATTTTTTATTTTTGGTAAGAATATATATATATTTTAACATTTATATATATATATTCTATTTCTTTTTCTGTAAGAATATCTTTAATTTTTTTTCTAAAGCTTAAAGAACTTATAAAATCATAAGAGTCTTCACTTTTTCTTTTGCCTATCTTCATTTCTTTTCTTTCATAAACCATAGATACCACGACATTTCCAAAAATATTGATTTAATTTGTTATATTTTTTGGAAAAAAAAGAAGAAAAAAAGGTGGCTACGTAGTTGTGTGTTGTTGTGGTAGACTGGCACCATATTTCTTGAATCTTCCTTCGATCTGACCTCAAGAAGTTTCTCTCTTCTGCAACTGCCACTGCCATTCACATCTCCAGGAATAGAACTCTCACTTGTACTCTTCTTTTTGCGACAAAATAGCAGATCTCCATCATTTCACATCCACTATATAAAGTACAATTATTATCACTTTAAAAAACTCAAACATTATAATAATAATAATAGTAATATGCAAACATCATCGTACACCCAACATCACACACCTTTTCTTCCAACCAAACCAGAACCAGAATATGATCATCCAAACCCAAAAAATCCTTGCATTCAAATAGAAAAAAATTACGCTTTTCATAAAAGGGTTAGACAATCATTAGTTTCTATAATAAGACATTCAAATCTGTGTAATAAAGATTGCGTGTATATAGCTAAGTCAGTTTAGATTCTTTTCCAACATTCATTCCTTAAAAAACAAAGTTCTTCTCATTCAACTGCATGTTTGCAACTGCATAATTGTTCAGCAGTTTCAGCCAACATTGATTACACAAAACAGAGAAACGAAAGAACGAGATTTGTACAACACAACCATTCAATTATTTAACCTAAATAACCATTCTACTGTTCCTCACATCCAGCTTCAAATTCACGTCTACGTTCAGATTCTCGCCACCGCCATCGTTTCTTCGAACTTGAGGTACACCGCTGAACAATTGTTCCACAGAGGAACACTTCCTGGCGTTATTCCGGGCAGCTTTCGGCTTCACAACACCACCTTCCGACGACGGAGAAAGAGGCAGCACCGAGGGTATCTTGAAGTTGGTCCTCGCCTTCGCGCCTCTAAGTCTTCTCGCCGCCGCGTCGTACGCACGCGCCGCTTCCTCCGCCGTGTCGAACGTCCCCAGCCAGTGGCGGCACCGCCCGATCCGGTCGCGTATCTCCGCCGACCACCTCCCCCACGGTCTCTTCCTCACTCCTCGGTAACTCTTGTTCACCGACACCCCAGCCGTTTTCTTCGGCGTCTCTGGAACATGCAACGTCGACGACGTTCCGAAAAGGACGTGTTCTCCAACAACCGCGGCAATCCCTTCGAGCCCCGTTTCGTGCGACGACACCGTTTCGGGCTTCGGAAGCAAAACGTTAGCGGCGGTGGCGGTGGCGGTGGTTGGCGCGTGTAAGTAGATTTCGTCGTTCATTGTCACAAGTATGAATGAAAGTTAGACTTTTTGGATCAAAGGTGGTCGTGGCCCCTACAGATGGGAAGGAGATATTTATATCGTGTTGAAGAAAATTAGTCGAAAAAATATTAAAAATGTAAACTTTATTAAATTTAAACAAACAGAAAAAAAGAAATTAGAGAAAATATTAGATAGATATTGGTGTGAAATCTGAAAAGACTGTAATCCCTCGTATCTACATGTTTGTCTTTCCTAGGCTGGCTGTAGGCTGTACTGTTGTAGGGATACACACCCTTTCAGAAGGTCCCTTAACACAACACACCTAATATAGCACGGGCCCCTTCATCCCTTTTTTATTCTTTACATTTTCACGTTTTCAAAATCAACTTGAATATATATAAATGAATAAATTTGAATGAATATATGATGAGAAAAACAGCATGTTATGTTGTATCAGAAAGAAAGAACTGAAAACACATGGTTGAAGATGAGATGAGATCTCCTTGTAAAAGAACGATGACAGTATTTACATGAGAATGAGAAAGAGAGATGAGTGGAAGAGCGTCACAGTGTCGTCAAGGAAAAGATTGTTTGACTGCAAAATTGCAAAACATGATTGACTGTACAAATCCTTTCTTTTTTATCAGTTTTATCAGTTCATCGAAATAACCACAGGGGAAACCAGAATCACCTCAGCAACCATTACCCTCATAACTTCAAACTTTCCATAATTTTTAACTTTCCTCCTGCTCATTAATTCAAACTTTGTCATAATTATTCTTCTTCTGGTACACTTTTCGTTGGCCTTATTTACATTATATTATGCAGGAAAAGGAATGAATAAAGTATAATAATAGCTTTACAAAAAAATGTTGAAAAACAGCATGCACGACACGATGCAAGGGAGGATGATGAGATTTTGCACTATGATCTGTGCATGATGTCATGAAGATGTCTTTCAAAGGTCAAGAAGCAATTATGCATAGGTGATGGAATAGATGGGAAGATGCAGATGATGCATTGCAAACAATTAATGCACCAAGATTTCGGATTTGATTTCCACTTTCATTTCAGATTCAGATTACCATTCATCATGCCTTTTCTTTGTTAAATTCAAATACCCTTCGCAAGATATCTTTTTTTATTATCTTTCTTCATATCTTAGTTGCATTTATGTGTAATGATGCATGCAGAATGCTACCCTAATTAGTCACATGCATAAAGCTTCCTAGTTCATATATATATATATATATATATATATATATATATATAGTGTTTATGAGATTTAACATAGGAAAAATAAAGAATGCACTGAGTTTTTCTTAACTTTAATGAAATATTTATAGAGGTTTTTATTTTATTTTATTCTTTTACTTTTATATAACAATGAATGTAAATTTTTAAATTAGGTGTAGAGAAAATATAAAAGGAAAGAAAAATTATTATTGTCTTCAAATTTAAAAATAATAATTAAATAATTTTTTCTTAAAAATGTGACACTTAAAAGGAACAAAGAATATTGTATGGATTGGACTGAGTTTAAGTTCAAGGATTCGATCTCATTTCTATCCATATTTTCTTTTGGTAATGTGAGAAATATATAAACTAGGTGATTCTAGTTAAATAAAAAACAGCAATGTTCTTAATTTGTATGAAAAGGTAAGAAAGAAAATAAATAATTAAGATGATCAATGATTATATTAACATTTATTCTAATAACTTTTTACGAACTAGTTTGCCAACTCATGGATATCCCTAATTGAGGAGAAGATAATTCCAACAAATTAAAATTAATAATTTTTTAATCGTTATAATGAAACTTTAATATAATTCATGCATGTACTAAATGATAAAATTATTAAGAGTCGATCATAGAAGTATATCTCGGATACTTTTTAAAAAGATCATTGTAATATTTATGAAAAAATAAATGTGTTTTTGATCTTTTATATTTTTAATAAAGTGAGATTAACAGTTTTTTATTTTAATTTAAAAAATATTTTTTTAACTTTAGAAATACGATAAATCCGTAAATAAACAAGATCTGCTTATCTTGTATATTTCTATTCCCGTTTGTAGTCAACGGTGTAGTCAAATTAGGCTAAACTGGAGAGAAAAATAAATCTGCAATCAGAAAATGATTTTTAAATTTCATTTTTTTGCTCTGAATTCTTTTAATAGATTAACGTGGTACTTTTAGTGCGAGGACATTCTGAAAAAACGGAAGAATAACCAATTACAATGTTATTTTCGTAAGCAATTTTCATAAAAGAAAATGATTTTTTTATGTAAGAGTCACTTAACAATATAGTTTCAAAGATAAAATAATCTTTAAAAAGGTGAATTTTTATATTTATAAGAAAATAAAAATTGAAAGATAAAATAATAAATATCAGGTGACTCTAAAACTTCTTTTGAGTTGTTGATAGATGAACAGTGATTTTGTTTTCCTATATAGTATAATCTTTGGGTTGGATCTATGCAATCTGCACAGTGCAAACACCGAGTTTCGCAAATTTCTCCTTAGTTCAATCTCAAATCACAAGTCAATATCTCTTTAAAAATGTGCCTTTCTCAACAATCCATGCAAAAGAATCAACACAAACACATACTTTTTATACCTTTCCCAAGGCAACCCTTTTGCTAGTGCCAATACTCACTTTCATATAATAATATGAATTACAAACAAAACAGTAAAGTATGGTCTTTTATTTCATACATCATCTTTTCTCTTCACTTCCTTTCAATCTTTCAACTCATCCCACAAATATGCAGACCTTTTCTCTTTTTCTTTCTTACTTTCCTCCAAAACTAAACTAAACTGGTTTTCAAGCAGTTCATAAAAAATATAAAACTTTAATTGTTTTGAGAAATTGATGCATGGTTAATTTATAATATATAATCAAATACAAATTTTATAAGATTGAATATAACTTAAAATTTATTTTCTAATATACTTTTTTACACTCGATGTTTCATGTTTGATGATCGAGTTTAGATGAGTATAATTTTTCATTGTAAGATGAAAGCCTCACAATCGATCGGTGACAGATAGTCAAATTGTTTCAGTAGGGATTGAGACCGAGACACTGACCTCGACTTGTGCGCTTCGCTTGTTTGCTTCCAGTTTGGACCGATCGGTCACCTTCAATATTGTCCGCTCGGTGAACGACGCTCAAGTTAGGAGCGGTTTTATGAATTGTTTGTTACAGTTAAATATTGAAGTCCTAATAGGACGTAAATAGGGCGTACTGTATTATGAGTTGAATCTGTCTTTACCTCAAACCTAAACCCTTATTTATAGTGTTTAAAAAAATCTAAATTAATTTACCTCTTAATGGTCATTAATGCAAACCTTAATTGTTTAAGCCGTTATCACATTCATTGTACGTTAACTCTGCTCAATAGTTGTCGAGACCGGATGTGAAGCTGGTCGAGACCGATCGGTAGCCTATGAGCCTATAGTAACACAAATGAATCATGAATGGATTGGTGGTTAACAATAAGTTCTAGTGAATGTGTAGGAGTAAACATTGTGTGTGAAACGGAGAGAATGTAGGTGAATGGAGCATGGGCGTGTGTGCGAGCGGAATTGGAGAAAGTGAAGTTGGGTTTTTGAAGAAGCACGCCAAGTGTTTGGTGTTGTGCAGAGTGGTCATTGTTTGGACCAAGAGATTTGGCATTGCTTGCAATTGCATGGAGTGAAGAGTAAGAATGCGTTCGGATTTTGCAAAAGAAAGAGAGAGAAAGTGTTTTACACAATCCCAAGAAGAAGAAGAAGAGACAAAGAAAGTGTGTTTCAATGATATCTTTATCATTTTCGTACTTGAGTGCTATGCCAATTCGTGTAATTTCTTCCAACTTTCATGCCTCTCTGCGAATTCCCACCTTTTGCCTAAATGATCTTACCTTTTTCTCTCTTCCATCTTCTTCTCTTTTCTCTTTTCTCCTTTTTAATGCCATTTATTTCATTATAAATAACTCCAATTTACTTATTTATTCAACTCTACTCATGGAAATAAAACGATATTGTATATTACTCAAATAACCGTAATTAATTGAATTCGTTTTACTCAAATTGTGAATTTCTTTTACGATTTTTAAACTGGAAAATCATTCTTTTAAGGTTTAATTTTCTTTTAAATGCAATTTAAAATTTCATATCACGGTTAGACTGTGTTTGGATTTGAATAAATGAATTTAGGTGGGAAAAAATGTGTGTTTGTTTGAATTAAAAAATATATAATAAGAGATGAAAAGATTTTAAATAAAAGTTGATGAATGATATAATTTGATAAATTAAAAAAATACTCTAATCGATAAAATAAAAAAAATAATATTATTATCTATATTAAAAATTAACTTTATTTAAATATAAAATTATTTTGATCTGCTGAAATAAACATGCCTATAGGCTTAGAGATATTATATTAATTAATTATAAAAAAAATTATGATATAAATTTTATCTTATAAACTAATTTTCTATGGATAAATATTGAACTTAAGTTCACTTCTTAAATGTGTAAAAATTATTTATATATGTTAAGTATGTATTATTGGTAGACCCAAACTGAAAGTGTCATTTCCAATTAAAGTACCCAAACCAATAGACCGGTTATCCTTCACCTTAAGGTAGCCCATACCCAAGCCCAAGCCCAACCTATTGTGTTGTTGCTGTTTTGGTTCTTTTTGTTTCAGGGAGTGCGACCACGTGGTTTTATGGTCCAAAAATGGGACAATAAAATAAACATACGTTTTTATTAATATATTGCATTTCATAGAAATAAAATAATGACAGAAGAACGTTTACTAAAATCTTAAATCTAATATGATTATATTCCTTTAATAAAATTTAATTAATGATTATTATTTTTTATAAATTTCGGAAATAAAAGCAAACATAAGCCCATCAATATATTTAAGAACACAAATATATATACTTTCTTTAGAGACAATTCGTCCTTTAATGTAGATTCTTCCCCACGTTTCTATCTCTTAAATCCTTGAATTTTTACAAAAGTTTTTCTATAAATAAATATTCTTTTCTAAATAAGAAAGTAAAAGAAAATGAACAAGTGCATAAAATAAATTATTAAAGCATATAAGTTGTAAAAAATTAGGAGATAAAATAAAAAAAATAAAATATTCCAATGAAACTGTTAAACTGTGGCCATAATTTGACACTGACCAAACAGAATAATATTTATTTCACAACTTAAATAATATGATTTTAATTATTTTCTTCTTGATTTTTAATTTTTAATTTAATTTTTTAATATACTTTAGTATATTAT